GACCTTTCAGTCCGCAGGCCGACGCTTTATCCACTGAGCCACACCGGTTTCGGCAGAGGCACAGATTCTTTTTTTTTTTTTTTTTTAAATATATTTTATTGATTTTATACAGAGAGGAAGGGAGAGAGATAGAGAGTTAGAAACATCGATGAGAGAGAGTCATCGATCAGCTGCCTCTTGCACACCCCCCTACTGGGGATGTGCCCACAACCAAGGCACATGCCCTTGACCGGAATCGAACCTGGGACCTTTCAGTCCCCAAGCCGACGCTCTATCCATTGAGCCACACCGGTCCCGGCCAGGCACAGATTCTTAAGGCCGGGAAGCCCCTCCTTGGCTGTGGGGAGGCCTGACTGACTTCATCCGGGCCGGTCCTGAGCACTGGCGGCTCCACCTCCTGCCCCCTGTCCTGCCACAGGTCTCCGCCGCTCACAGCCGGAGCCGAGGAAGGGGCCTCCTGTCCTGGGTGCGGAGAGTTGGGGTGGAGGCGCTGCCTCCGTCAGGCGCTGCAGGTGGGGAGCTGGAGAGCGACCGCTCAGCCGGGAGGGACTGTTTCCAAGCTGACCGTGTCCTTTGTCTCCTCAGTTATGGACGAGACCACAGCCCGGGGCCGCCTGCCGGCGGATGTGGCCCGCGACGTGCTGGCCGCCGTGGGCGGGAAGCAGCAGGACGTGGTGCTGGCCGGCCTGGTGCCTGCCGTGGCCATCTACCTGCGGACGCTGGCCCCCGGGCTCTTCTTCCGCCTCATGGCCTCCCGGGCCCGGAAGGAGCAGAAGCCCAAGGACGCCTAGTGCCAGCGGCGGCTGCCCGGTGCTCACGGGCTGGAGGCCGGAGGCGCGCTCCCCCGCGGAGCCTGGGCGCCTGCGGGGCGCGACGGAGCCAGCCCTGAGTGACCGGCTGGTCCTAATGCCGAGAACATGAAATAAAGGAGTGGACACAGGACCCCTGGTCCCTGAGGCTGGATCGCCGGCTCCCGGAGCGGGGGTCCGTCCCCACGGGGCCCCGGCCACGCTGCCCACACCCGACCTCCCAGGACCACGCGCCTAAAGGTTTTGGCAGAGTCCACTTCCTGTCCCCCGGGAGAGGCCAGGCATCAGATGCCGCTTTCACTCCCACCCCAGGCCCGAGTGTCCCTCAGCCCAGCCAGGGGCCCACGTGACCGTCACTGACCCCCCGGGCACCAGCTCTGGGACCAGAAAAGGGTTCCCATTTCCCTGCTGACCCCACCCCCCAGCCCTGCAGGACCAGGCGCCACTCCAAGGAGGTGCACTAAGGAGACCGCCGTCTGTGGGGAAAGGACACGTGTCCTCTGGTGTGAAGTTTGGAATCGGTTCAGGGTGGGGCTCTTTAAAAAAATTTTTAAATTTCAGGGAGAAGGGGAGGGAGAGAGAGAGAGAAACACCAATGAAGAGAGAAGCATTGATCAGCTGTGTCCTGTACTCTCCCCTTGGGGATCAAGCCCGTACCCGAGGCCTGTGCCCTGACCAGGATCGAACCGTGACCTCCCGGTTCCCGGGTTGACTCAGCCCCTGCGCCCGCCGGCCGGGCCGGGGCCCCTAAAGCGGTATCCGCTCTGGGGGAAGCAGCCGCTGGCTGGCTGGCCGTGCTGGGCTCCTAACCACACGGCGAGGCTCCCCAGGCAGCCGCTCCTCACGTTTAGAAGGAAGTCCCCCCGTTGGAGCGGACAGTGGAAGCGGTGGGCCCATTGTGCAGGCTTCCCTGTGGAATAAGTCCCCTAGCACGTTCCGTGTCACCTTACCCGCCGTCCTGACGGCTCCTGTGGAGCTTGCAATTGAAGCAGCTACTCCCCACATGGAATCGGCCAGAGCAGCCTGTGGTGTGGGTGTTCAGGGCTCCCCGGTTTCCTGGACGTTGGGGGACGAGGAGTGACAGACGTGGTGACCTGGCCCCGCTCCCACAGCCCACGGGTCCACCCCAGAGCCACGCTGGAACGTGGGCGGATAATAGACGCAACGCATGGCTTCTCGCTTCCTCAGAAGCCACCTCCCTCCTGAACGTGCGCCTGAGGAGAGGCTCGAGGCAGGGCGGGCCATGCTGGCGCCTGGCGGGCCCGGCAGGCCAATGCCAGCGTCCTCAGGAGGCAGCCAGGACGCGGTCGGAGGATGGATGAGCAGCTCCCCGGACACTCCTCGCTGGTACTTTCTGAAGGGCCCTGTCCGGTGCTGTCCGTCCTCTCCGTTAAGTGAACGGCCAGCAGCTGGGGCTAGTGGGGTGCACTGCCCTCCAGGGGCTGCACGTTAGCAAGTGCAGGTGCCTTTAGCAGCGGCTCTGTTTGGAGGTGGAGGTGGGTGGTTTGGGAGAAGCTGACAGTGGCCTCAGGTGTAGGCTGGGAAACAGCTTGGAGCAGACACACAGCTTGGAGCAACCTACATATGACAAGGGAATCATTGAAATATCACTGAATGTTTACTTGCCTGGCATTCTTTTATTATTTTTAAAATATATTTTTACTAATTTCAAAGAGGGAGAGAAACATCGATGAGAGAGAATTACTGATGAGCTGCCTCCTGCACGCCTCACCCTGGGGATAGAACCTGCAACCAGGGCGTGTGCCCTGACCAGGAGTCAGACCTCCTGGCTCATAGGTCGATGCTCAACCACTGAGCCCATGGGCCGAACTGCCTTTTTTTTTTTTTTTACATACGCAACTCATTGTTTAAAGCTTACTATAGAAACTTTGTATCCTACCGTATGAATAGAAATAATGGAATACAGACAAGGCCACTAAAACCAGCTGGGCCCGCTGCCTGCCCAGCTCTCGGGTCCGCAGGGTCCACAGATGCTCTGGCCTCAGCAACTAGGAGAGGCCGAAAGGGCAGTGGCTCAGGGCGCTCTGATGCCCAGGTGGCACCTTCGCCCTCCTGGGGCCCCTCCCTGGAGGGCAGGTGTGGTAAAGGTGGGGCTGCTGAGGCTGTGACGGGGATGGCAGCGGGCACTGCCTGCGGGCGAGTGCACCCTGCACAGGCGCACCCCGAAGAGGGGAGCTGGGCCTTTGGCTCACACCCACGTCTGAATGTCTGCCACCCGGGGTAGTGGTGTCCAGTTTCTCTCTTGCGTCCTTGAAGGTGGTTTTCCCATCTTTTATTCTTTTTTTAAAATATATTTTATTGACTTTTTACAGAGAGGAAGAGAGGGATAGAGAGCTAGAAACATCGATGAGAGAGAATCATTGATCAGCTGCCTCTTGGGGATGTGCCCACAACCAAGGTTCATGCCTTTGACAGGAATTGAACCCGGGACCTTTCAGTCCGCAGGCTGAAGCTCTATCCACTGAGCCAAACCGGTTTCGGCCTATCTTTTATTCTTGACTTCAGACGGGTAGGTTGGGAAAGCACAATCTGGCTTAGTTCTGCCTTCAGATAGTTCAAAGACACGTTCTGCTTTACAGGACTCTGGTGTCTCACTGGTCCGAGGGTGAAAGCAAGCTGCCCCGTGCTTTGTGCCAAAACCAGAGGCCGAAAACAGAACCGAGTGCGTCTCCCGGCAGAGGCCGTGCATGTGCCCGGGGGCCGGCTCCCAGCAGCACTGAGCTGTTTCCCTCCCCCCAGGACCCGCTGCCAAACCAGATGGGCACTGTGCTCTGGGGGGGTGGACCGCCGGGACCAAGGAGAGCCGGTCCATGTGTGCCGGGGTCTCTCTTCCCTGAAGCTGGAGCGGGTGGGGGGAGTTCAAACCAGACTCGGCGATCTGCATGACCTAGTCACGCACACGCTCACGCACATGGACTCAGCCTGTGGCTTGCAGAGGCGGCCCCTCCTGGCCTCAGCTTCCTCTCAGGTGGCAGTGATTTCATTTCAGAGTGCCGTGCCTGGAACCTGAGGTCACCCGTGTCAGCTGTGTCTAGGGGGAAGGAGCAGAATAGGTACGTCCACACCGCAGAGGCTGGACACCCCGAGGTGGGTGACGCTGGGGCACCACTCGCTGGAGTCTGCTCTCCAGCACGGACACCTGGCAGCAAGCACTTCGCTGCATGCACCAGGCCTCCACTTCTGGTGAGGCTTCTGCTCAGCAGGCCGGTGGCACTGCTTGTCTGTCTGCCGCCCCAGGAAACCTGATTTGCAGGCAGGGCATGGGACCCCTGTCCAAACCTGGGCTCTTAGGAAAGCACCTGCCCTTCCCGCCCAGCCGGCAGCCCGTCGCGGGCATCGCAGCGGAGCGGAGGTCTGTCTGGGATCACTGCCAGTTGACCTGGCTCCGTGACCAGACTCTGTGGAAACAGCAGTGTTTACCCAACACCGCTTCTGCCCCTGGCACTCGGCGGAGTAATCAGTCTCTAGGGCCCTTGTATTTAAAGCAGTTTCTCAAGCTTGGTGGCCATTGTTCCTTTGGTTTTGAATTTGTAAGAGTTTATCTGCACCAGACTGACACCACTGCCAGGAGCGCGTCTCCGGTGCTGGCCCCCAGGGTCCCTCTAAAGCTCTGGGTCTCCCTCGCCCGAGGCCTCCGCACAGGCGGCCCCTGGGGAAGGAGGGCTCCACAGCTCTGTGGGGAGGCCGGGGGCAGGTCTTAGAGAAGCTGCCATAGCAGAGGCTGTGGGGGACGTGGGGGACGCTCACAGGCCTTTCGGGGTGGGAGCAGCACAGGACTCGGCGCCGCGGAACAGGCCTGCTCAGGACATGTCAGGCACATGTTTAAGCTTCAGTGCTTTAAACATGTGCAGGCGTGAGCTGCTTGTGTCCTACACCCACATCTGGGCAAGATGTCAGACCCCAGTACTCCACATGCACCAGGGACCTGGCGACCTGCAGGCCTGTCTCCCTCCCCTGCCCCATCCCTGCACAGCAGTGAGCAGAGCTGCCCTGGGAGGCAGGCTGGGTGGGACTTGAGATGGCTCCGGGCGGGCCTAGCCTGCCTGTCAGGGCCTGCTCCATTCACGTGCTGATTGTGGCTGCAGCCAGGCGCAGGGCGGCCTCCGGTGCCCATCCACGGCCGATGGCAGCAGCTATTGGCACAGTCATGAAAAGCAACGACACCTGGAGTTGAAATTCTCATCATTTTAATGGTCAATTGCTTCTGGTTGGCTCTGGAAGGTAGTTAAACAATCAACTTCAAGACCCCCACCCAACGCACCCCCCCAGCTTCCATCCACGTTCCACGCCCAGTCAGAATCCGCGGCCTCAGACTCCCTGTGGGCTGCGGAAACCCACAGCTTAGTGTGGCAAGTTGCAAAAACCCTTGGTACATTTGCAATCTGTTATTTTTAAAAAATAACTATTAAACCAAACACCTTCCCGGGCTCTGTTGCCTCATGGAGCAAAAGAAAGTTCCCGTGCGACCTGCACCCTCGCCGTCTCCGTGGCGGCGCGCCGCTCGGCGATCATACGGCGTAGAGCTCGTACACCTTCTTTACACAGTACACCAGGGCGGCGAGCGCTATCGTGTTGTGCAGTCTCTTTCTGTGCAAGTCGTCCTTGCGGACCAGCACCACGGGGGTGGAGGAGGTGAGTGTGTGCAGGGGCAGGCGGGACAGTTTATAGGCGTCGTACTCCACTTGGTACTTGCAGCAGGGGTCAAACTGCCAGGAGATGCCGTAGAGGGTGCAGCAGGCCAGGCTCAGCACGCCGGCGGGCAGGGAGATGTAGTGGGAGTAGTCGAGGGGCAGTGCCAGGGGGGTGAAGAGGCACGCGGTGCCCGCCAGCACGGTGGTCTTGTGCAGACAGTTGCCCACGGTGATCCAGCGAGCGGTCTCATCTCCGATGCGGGTGGGCTCGATCACGATGTACTTGTACTGGGCCTCCAGCGCCTGCTCCAGCTCATACTCAAACTGGTCCTGGGCGTTCTCCCCATTGTAGATCTCGTGCACGATGTAACAGTCTGTGGCCGACAAGCTCACCCTGAGGAGGGAGAGGCAAGGAAAAGACAAGAGTTAGCGGGGAGCACTCACGAGGTTTCTTTGTGAGACACCGAGGGGAGGCAGTGAGGCGGGTCTGGCCTCAGCTCAGAGAGCCTGCGCTCTTGAAAATACCCCTAGAACCCAGTATTCCAGATCACCAGTGAAGGACTGTTTTTCTGAAAGAATACGGTAACGGATTACAAAAAGGCGCAGGATACCCTAACCTCCAAGACCAGCTGCGCCAGGCGGCTGGTCTACTGCAGGGGACGGGCAGGCCGGAGTTAGCTGAGCTCCAAGGAAACAAGGATGCCGTCAGCCCCGAATCGCATTCACACACCCAACCCAGAAGGCCCAGGCCAGCAGGGCGAAGTCGCGGCGGCCGCAGGACCTGAGGCAGACCCACCACGCCCCCGTGCACGGCTCCAAACCAGCCACCTTGGTCCACTGGGCGGCAGAACCGAGCTCCCTGCCCCTTGTGGAAGGACATGCTGCACGAAGCCCCTGGCCAGCACGCCAGCACCGCGCTCAGCGGAACAAGCCCTTTGACCCAATTAGGAAAAGACATCTCAAGAACAGTGACTGACACTTAATGGACGGGAACCCACGCTGACCTGTAAGCCCAGGACCGGACTTGCTCTCACCCAGAGACCCACGCCCAGGGGCTGAGCTGATCGGACCCCCCCTGGGACCAGGGATGGGTCACAGGACCCTCAAAGTGGAGCCTTATGCCTCAAGGCCGAAGGGCAGCAGTGTCCGGATTCCCAGCGTGAGGGCCTCTCTAATACCAACTTCCCACACCACCTCGTTACAGACCTCACACCTGGCACCTCGGTCTGTCTCCATCCTTCTGAATCTCCACAGCTGTCCAGTACAGCTGCTTCCAGCTGTGCTCCCCCTCACCCGATCGGAGCCTCTGACAGCACACTGCTAGGCACAGCTCTGGAGGCGGGTCAAGCTGCTAATCCACGTTATTACCAGGCTGTGCAGAGCCACCTCGTCACGCCTCTGCGAAAGCAGCCCTTGGCCCTGGCCAGTCGGGCATCATCCCGGGAACCGAAGGGTTGCTGGTTCTACTCCCAGTCAGGGCACATGCCTGGGTTTTCGGGCTCAATCCCTGGTGGGGGTGTGCAGGAAGCAGCTCATCAATGTTTTACACTCACATAAATGTTTCTCTCCCTCTCTCGCTAAAAATCAATTTAAAAATCTTAAAATAACCGCTGTTAGAAGTGTCAGCCCACAGACTTGGGTTTGATTCTGATCCTGCACCTCAGTTGCAGGTTTGATTCCTGGCCCCGGTTGGGGCATGTGCAGGAGGCAACTCTCACATCAATGTTTCTCTTTGCACCCCCTGCCCCGCCTGCTCCACTGTCTAAAAAAAGGAAACAAATCCAATGAAAAAAATGTCCTCAGCAGCCGAGTCTGGTGCGGCCAGGCCCGGAGCAGTGGCTGCCAGGCTGGGAGCAGCCAGGCTAGGAGCAGCGGCTGCCAGGCTGGGAGCGGCCAGGCCCGGAGCAACCGGGTCTGGTGCGGCCAGGCCCGGAGCAGCGGCTGACAGGCTGGGAGCGGCCAGGCCCGGAACAGCCGGGTCTGGTGTGGCCAGGCCCGGAGCAGAGGCTGCCAGGCTGGGAGCAGCCAGGCTAGGAGCAGCGGCTGCCAGGCTGGGAGCGGCCAGGCCCGGAGCAACCGGGCCCAGAGCAGCCGGGTCGGGTGTGGCCAGGCCTGTAGCAGCAACAGCCAAGTCCAGAGCAACTAGGTCGGGAGTGGCAGTGACCAGACCCGGAGCAGCAACTGCCAGGCTGGGAGCGGCCAGGCCCGGAGCAGCGGCTGACAGGCTGGGAGCGGCCAGGTCGGGAGCGGCCAGGCCTGGAGCGGCCAGGCCTAGAGCAATTGGGCCCAGAGCAGCCGAGTTGGGTGTGGCCAGGCCTGTAGCAGCAACAGCCAAGTCCAGAGCAACTAGGTCGGGAGCGGCAGTGACCAGACCCGGAGCAGCTGGTTGTGGAACGAACCAGAGCAACAGAGGCCAGGCCCGGAGCAGCCTGGCCCAAAACAGCTCGCTCCTCACCTGCCCCTGCCCCACGGCTGCCTCTCAGACATGGCTGGAAACTTTTGTGGGAACTTGAGGGTCTGCTGAATCAAGTGATGAAGGCTTAGATCTGGATGTGTTGAGTTAGTATAGGGCTGGGGTGTTGATCTGTGAGTGCCTTGGGTGGGGCCTGGATGAGGCTGGTTGTCCTATTTGGAAATGTCTTTTGTGTGAAGTGTATCATTGGGCATGTGGTGGTATTATTGATATGAGAAAATGCTAAGTAACAGATTTGCTATCTGAAAAGGGATTTACTATCGGGGAAAGGGAGGGAGGAAGAGACTGAACATAAACTGTGCACCAATGGATGAGGATGAGGGGGCAGAGGGTGGGGTGGGAACCTGGTGGAGGGGGGAAGAAACGAGGAACCTGTGTAAAAATATGAACAATAAAGATTGATTTTAAAAAAAAGAAAAGAAAAGAAAAGAAAAAAATGTCCTCAAGTGAGGATAAACAACAATGAAATAATAACTGACCATCCCCCAGAACTGAAGGGAGTCTCAGGCCTCCTGCAAAGACGAAAGCCATTACCCGGCACAGCTGGTGGGAGCAGGATTGTCAGGGGCAGGCGCTAAGCAACAAGGAGAGACCAGAGAGGAGACTACAGGCACCACGTCACTGCCCCAGGGGGCCCAGCTCTCCCTCTGGCTGGGTGTCTCTGCTCCTGCAATGAGGCGGCCCAGGTGCTGGGCTGAGCAGGGGAGGAGCCCTGCATGCCTGGGCTCAGGAGCAGGGAGTCTTAGCCTGAAAGGTACCTGTCATTCAGGAGGCTCAGGGCAGCCGCCGCCTCAGTTAAGGTGCCGGCCTCATCACCCTGGCCCCGGGGAGAGCCCTCCCCGGGGTGGGGCCAGCCTCCCAAACACGGGTGCTGCCAAAGCGCCTGTGGTGCCCACGGCAAGGGCTGCCTGTCCGGGGAGGTGAGTTCACAAAACGGGAAATGTCGGTTTTCCTTGGGAAGGCCTTTATGGAGGTTTGCCATTTGCTTTTATCTCAGAGATAAACCAGAGGCCGTTCCAGTCACTGCTCCCAGCAGGGGCTGCACGGACACCTACTCGGACCACCGGAACAGGCTGCCTGCCCCTGGTTCCTCGGGCGGAGGAGACTGGTTCCAGGCGGACCACCTCGGCCCAGAGGCATCCTTATGTCCTCACGTTCCTGAGCCCAGAGAGACGGGAGAGACAGGAACAAGGGACTGGGTGGGGTGGGCAACTCATTCACGAGGAGGCAACACTGGCAGTCGGTGTGGCCCTGTCACTCCGGTGAGTGCTTGCTGGGCTCCGAGGGAGCTCCGGCCAGTCCTCTGGGACACTCAAACAAGAGGCAGGTACCAAGGCTGAGATCCAGAATGTTCTTGACAAACCCCAAAGCTCCCTTAGTCACGCAGTGCCCTTCCGTACCCCGCAGATTAGAGTGATCCTGTTATGGAAAACCCACTGTTGGACGGACAAGAAAATGCTAGTTGGACCCACAGCACCTGGATTATATAACTTCACTTGGAAGCACACAGTGGACAGACTCCCCCCCATGCCAACCGGGCCCTCCCCAGCTGCCCCGCTGCCCCGGCTCTGTGAGCCCAGCTGGCACCACCCTCCCAGGCCCTGGTGGGCTCTCGGGCTCCTGGGGCGGGAGTGGAGGCAAGGCCAGCCCTGCCATTTGTCAGCACACATCAGTGAGAGTCCCCGGGGCCCACGGAGCCCACGGCCAGCCATCAGCGCGGGAGCGGGAGCGGCAGCACCAGCCTTCAGCGGCTGCGGAGCACGCGTGGGCACGGCGCACCACCGCGCCCTCACACCCGGCAATGCCCGCACTCCCCCGCCACCACACAGCAGCCAGAGTGACCTCCGCCCTTCACGCCAGGCAGGCGCGGCCGGCAGAGCCGCCACACCCAGGGCAGCGAGGGACGGTCCACTGGAAAGCACAGGGCCTGGAGCCTGGAAGATCCCAGGACGCCGGTGTGCAAAAAGGAAACGGCAAGGCTCAAAACGAACTGGCCCGCACAACCCTTCGCCAGAGGCCACCGCCAAGCATCAGCACCTGCCCTCCCACCTGGGCTGAGGCAGCGGGGCCACCCACCGTCGGACCCTGCAAATGTAGGTTTTAAAAACGTCCCAATCACCGGGTCCCATTCTGCATGGTGGGCGTTCAGAAACGTGGAGGCGAAGGATGCCCGGGAGAGCCAGTCCACAACAGCCGGATACCCACCCCCCCCCCCCCCCACGGCTTGGTTGTTCCAAGGAAAGCCCCATCAGAAGGCTGCCTTGAACCATCTCAGCCAACCCCGTGAACCTAGCACACGAGAGGGGATTGCAGAAAAGGCCACGTGATCCCGGGGCTCCTAGGAGACTGTATTTTAGCTTTTTATTGCAGTGGTGAAATTATCACTAGGAGAGTGTAATAAAAAGTGTTCTAAAGAGAAAAAGCACTGCTAATGGAAAGTCTCTGGGAAAGAAAGGTAAGCGTCAGTCACACAGCAGTGTCTATGGCATACTGCCTTCCGTGTGTTTTTATTTATTTTTTAAATTGTATTTTATTGATATTTTACAGAGAGGAAGGGAGAGAGATGGAGAGCTAGAAACGTCGATGAGAGAGAAACATCGACCAGCTGCCTCCTGCACACCCCTCCCCACCGGGGATGTGCACGCAACCAAAGTACATGCCCTTGACCGGAATCGAACCCGGGACCTTTTAGTCCGCAGACTAAGCTGAGCACAGAGGCTTTTAAGGCTACCAACTCAGGGAAGCTGCGAAAATGCTGAGACAAGGAAACAGATCACAAACGAAAGAAATGGAGGACAAAAAGCTGAGCCAAACCAGTTTCGGCAGCCTTCCGTGTGTTTTTAAACGCTATGCATTGCTTTCATGTGCACGGACCCTCTAGGACAGATGTACCTGCGGACTGTGTCACTGGGGAGGACGGGCGCTTCCGGGAGTGCTTAGAGGGGGCCGCGCTCCCAGACACCTCGCCGCTGCAGCAGCTCCCCTGAGCCGAGCGAGGCTGCAGACACCGCTCCTCCCTCCTCTCCTCCAACCAGTGCGCAGAGCCCGAGTCCTCGGTCCCCGTCCCTGGCCCCGGCCCCGGCCCCGTCCCCGGCTCCGGCCCCGGCTCCGGCAGTGCTGGCCAACACAGCACAGGAGCCTGCAGACACCGCCTTCCTTCCCAGGACAAGGCGGCCACAGCATCGGCCCCAGGAGAGCCGAGACAGACTCCGCTTCCCTGGGTCTGGGCCAGGGGTCGGCAAACTCATCAGTCAGCAGAGCCAAATATCAACAGTACAACGACTGAAATGTCTTTTGAGAGCCAAATTTTAAAAACTTCAACTTCTTCTAACGCCACTTCTTCAAAATAGACTCGCCCAGGCCGTGGTATTTTGTGGAAGAGCCACACTCAAGGGACCAAAGAGCCGCATATGGTTCGTGAGCCGCCGTTTGCCGACCACGGGTCTAGGCCCTTCCTGGTCCCCCGACCCAGTGCAAAGCCGATCCCAAAGGAATCTGGGGTTGCCGAAGTAGTCCCCAGCATGGGGCCCCAAATCTAGAAACACCTCCCCCCAGTCAGCTGCACAGATGCCTGGAGCAGCACTGCCTGGCCCTTCGATGCGCCTGTGCGTCCTCCGGAGCGAAGGGGGAGGAGTCCCGGGGAGGGGGCAGGGCTACGCGGGACCCGTCGCACTCAATCCGGAGGCACCGGACTAGGGTGTGTGATGGGGCGGCTGTGTGCCGCCTGCGGAGAGAAGCAAGGAGAGGACAGACGGCGGGAGAGCGAGGCGCCTCTGCCGGGGCGGACACTGTGGCCGGTGATGCTAGTTTTCTATTAGGATTAGTGGTGAGCACACAGGTTTATTAACTTTAAAAATATGGTAAAATACACAAAAAATACCATCTTACCCACGCTTAACGTGCAGCGCCATTGGAAGTACATTCATATTGCGCAGCCCGCCTCCAGAACCTTTTCATGGTGCAGAACTGAAACTGTCCCCCCAGCCCCCACACACCGCCATCCACGTGCGGTCCTGCACCGGCTTCCTTCCCTCGCACCCTGCCCTCAGGCTCCTGTCTCAGCCCGTCACTCCTCCCTTCAGGGGGACTAATGTTCCATCGTAAGGATAGACCACGCTGTCCATCTCTGTCCAATGGACACTTTCTTTCCACCATCCTGTGGATCTACTCAAAATGGAAGTGGTGGGTGCTAGTTCTATCTTCCTTTCTGAGGAACCGCCACCTCTCCCCACGGCGGGCACCACGGGGCATTCTCAGCACCAGTGCAGGAGGCACTGCCCAGCCCCAGCCCCACCCTCAGCCCCCCGTGTGTTTCACAGGAGCGTCCTGAGGTGAGGGAGCTCAGTGTGGATTTCATTTGTATTTCTTAAGATAATGGCTTCTTTGAGACAAAATTCACACACCATGATTCACCCAGTTAAGCGTACAGTTCAACAGCTCAGCACTTCCACCCCGTTGTGCAATGACCACAACCAATTGTAGGACATTTCATCGTCCTGAAGACCTGTCAGCCCTCACTCGCCACCTCCAGCCCCTGCCCACACCCAGCTGCTGCCTGCTCTGGGCCTCCACAGGCCGCACGCACCCCGTGCCCTGCCTCTGTGACGGCTCCTGTCAGTCAGCATCACGGTTTCAAGGATCATACGAATGGTGGCTAGTTTAAGACTTTCAGAAATATACTTCTAAAGTGTTTAATATCATTTAAAAAAAATCCAGGACAAATGATATGGGGGCATCAAAGGTGCTATATACAAAAATGGTCAATAATGGTTTTGTTTGAATAGTGAGCTAGCAGGTGATTCTTATTTTTTTCCTCATGCTTAGAATTCTGTATTAAAAAATGCAAATATGTGCTTCTTTTATAATGGGAACAGTATTATAAACATTTTCAGGGGAAAATATTGGTCGCCAGCCCTGTATCCTTGGGGCGAAGAGACCAGAGAGCCACGGGGTCCCCAAAGCGCAGGGGACAGGAGCGCCCCCACCCCCCTCCCCCCCCGCTGGGCAGTGGAGGGCCTGCTTGGAGGCTGCGGTTGTGCGGCCCTCCCGTCCTCAGGAGGAGCCCAGCTCCCTGTCACACCAGCCAGCACTGCGCTGCCCTGTCCCGGTAACAGAACCAGAGCCAAATATAACCAGAGTGAAAGCTCTAGCAGCACCCCGTTTCCTAGCGGCCCTGGGCTCACAGGACTGAGGTGTGAGCTCCCGTCCGAACCACAGAGGCTGTGATCCTGAGTTCCTGAAAGCAGAGGAAGTATCGTACCCAGCACCCCGCCCTGGGCCTGAATGTGACAGGCGTGAGCAGGACTGAAATGAGTGCCGGGAGAAAAACAGTCATTAAGAGAATGGGCGGCTGAAAATCCATCCAGGTCCATATTCATGTTGCTCCCTCCCCAAGAAGCACTTGGTCACTCGGTCACCCACGATATGCGAGGCGCTGGAGTCACCTCTACCCCCAAGCCTAGGAAACCCACTGCCGGCTAACCAAAACCTGCTTCCTCCGGAGCCACAGGAGGCGCAGCTCCGCTGGGGGGTAAGCCAGGTGGGACAAAAAGGCACAGACGTGCAGCCCAACACCGAGGACAGTCCACATCGGACACGGAACTTCCTCCCCGGCCCGAGAGCGCCTCCCTCTGGCTCTGAGGACAAGAGCACCGGCATCGAGAGGCCTGCGTTCGAGTGCCCCCCCGGCCGCTCGGAGCCAGCGTGGGGCCCAGGGGGCGAAGGCCTAGCTCTCCCAGGAGGGGCTGGCGTCCGCACAGTGACCGCTGAGAAGCACCACCAGGGTTCACATGAAGTAAAATTAAAGACTCAGTTCCTCAGATGCACAAGCCACACTTCAAACGCTTTCAAGTCACAGAACGGCTCCCCCGAGGAGCAGCCCGATGGAGAACTGTCAGGACCATGGGTGACCTGGGCTTTCCCCAGAACTCTGCTGCACCAGCGACACCCCCCGTGGCAGCTGGAGGGTCCTGTGTTCACTCTGTGGAGCCCTTCCCCGACCCCGCCTTCCTCACTTACTGAGGTACACGCAGACACAAGCAGACACACGCGCGCGCACACACACGCACACGCACACACGCACACACACACGCTCTCTCAAGAAGCACAGAGGGCTGGGGCAGAGAAGCCAAACTCAGCCTCCTCTTTAGAAAGCTGGGCCCGAACAGGGACGCAGCTAACAAGTTACTGCAGCTGGCAGTCCAGCTTGCCCAAGTGAAACAAGTTTATGCCTAAGAGGATGCACCTCAGCAGACCCTACCCCACAGGCCCAACTTCTGGGATCAGAAAGGATGGCCAGCTGACGCGACGCACCAGCCTCCTGGCTGCACATGTACACACACGCGTGCAGATGCTGTGTGCACGGCCCGTCGGGACCAGGAGGGAACAAACATCTCACCCACACACAGGGCGGTACGGGAGTCTTTCAGGAGAAACGAAATACCACAAAGCCCTAAGGCTCCCCAGGGCCAAAAGGAGAGGGGCCATCACAATGAGGACTGTGCCCCTGCCACGTGGCGCAGGGCTGCTGTGCGGCTGGACTGGGAACTGACCCTCCACAGCAATTCGGAGCCATGTCTGTCTGATTCAGATGAAAGCAGAGCTGTCAAAAGAGCAAGCACTAAGGAATAGAGCATGAAAGACATGCAGGGACAACCCCCCCCCCCCCCCCCAACGGGCTGCCTGAAAATGCTGCACAACCAGGGGAGGGCCAGGTTGCAAAACGTGATTTCACCCTAAAAACCGAGCATCTGCTTCAGCGTGCCTGGCCCTCAGGACACCACAGGCCTGCAAACAGCACTGCTGCCCCCAATCACGATCGGAATCCGATCAAACACACCTGCAGGATAAAGGCAGGAACTGAGAGCAGAGAGCTGTACTCACATTCCAACACGACGGAGACTCGGGGTGCGCAGGCCCCGAGAGAGTGAAGACAAGGAGCCCAGGGGACAGGCGGGCGTCTGGGAGCCGGTCCGGGCTGGCGCCCAACGGCAGAACACACAGGTACCTGCACTGTGCCTTCCTAGGTGGGCCAGCGTCTCAAAGACGTCGACAGGCCAAGAGGCAGTCTGTTTCGTGTGCTCGCGGCCAGTGTGCTGAATTCTGGACAAGAATTCAGGTTACAGCTCAGAGTCTGCTGTTCTTCATTACAAACATTGTTGATTTCCTAGATTTAATGGAGTGGAGAGAAAAATCAACATGCAAGCAGCTTTCATTTTGCTATTTCCACCCTCTCCTATATAGTTCAGTCTAGACCAGCGGGGTCCTGTCGCCAGGCCTTCCTGCACTGATGCCTATGTCTCATCTCTACCCACGACACAGTCACAGCCACAGCGGCTACCAGCCCCTGAAATGGCACTAGTGTGCTTGGAGAGCCGACTTTTTCATTTTACTTAATTTTACTTAATTTAAATGTAACTGCCACATGTGACTAGTGGCTACTGCAGTAACACAGTTCTAGACTCAAGAACCAGGTAAAGCAAGAATCCACATACTGTGTGTCTTAAACTCAACCATCATTAACACACAGCTGACAAATTCTCATGGACAATTTGGCACTGGAGCCTTTAAATACAAGACATGCTGTGGACTCTGCAGCCACTGGCAATTCTAGAAGTTTGCCCAAAGCACTGCTCTGCTCCAACCCGTGCACTAAGCGAGACGGTTCCCTCCAGTTTCAGCATAAAGCAGATTCCACCCAGGTCTGTGCAGCAGCTCAGGGAAGTGGTCTTACAATGTGGAGCTGAGATTGGAATCGGCACAAATGTGACACGGAGCAACGTCATTTAGGAGCGCAGTAAACAGCCACATTTCAGTTATGGGAGCCAGTATCACACGTGGGCCTCATCATCTGTGGTGCCTGCCAATCCACTAATCCAGCCTGCCCCACCCAGTCTGCCCACCCACACAGCAGGCAGGAGGTATGCCCAGGAGCCAGCTAGCTGGCAGGGGCCAGGGTGTGTGGGAGGATTATGTTTCCATTCCTTGCTCACATGGGACAGAGGGAAACCAGGTCCCGAGCGAGGGCCTCACAACCAAGGCAAATGAAGTCCCCAGGTCCTCCCACCCGCATCTCCACCAGGTCACCTGGCAGGCAGATGGCGCAAACAGAGGGTCCCCCCCTTCAATAGTGCATCATACAGAAGGAGAGCTGGTGTTCCCCAAACCACCAAACCAGATGTTTGCTGGCTAGCACATCTGCATGTGCGCGCAGAGCCTGCAGTTCCAGGCCAAAGGTTGCAATCTGACACCTAAGGAGACCAGGCAGGTAGCGGCAGTGAGTCAGTGTCAGGTGAAGAATGATGGATGAACTAGAAAGCACTGGGCCGGACCAAAAAAGTCAGCCGCCACTCAGCTTTCCAAGTGAAGCGGGGGGTGTGTGTGTGAAACCCCTCAATCTGAAAGTGCTGGAAACTAATCTAAATTCTCTTAAAGACAGAGGCTATAATAAAGAAATGGATTCAGTCTATAGGCTGCTGGTTTGCAAACTCTGTTTTGAATTAATGATTGTCTCAAGTCAAGGAGAAAAAAAAATCCCCAATATCTCATTTATTTTCTTTTAATAGTGTGTGGTGTGGGTTTTTTAATTGATTTCAGAGAGAGGGAGAGTTAGAAACATCAAAGATGAGAGAAAATCACTGATCAGCTGCCTCCTGCATGCCTCACACTGGGGATCAAGCCACAACCCAGCATGTGCCCTGACTGGGAATCCTCTGGTTCCTGAATCCGTGCTCAACCACAGCCACAGTGGCTGGACCCCAATATCTAATTTCTTAGGTCAGTTAAAGTTTAACAGCCCCTGCCTGGGGCATCCCAATATGGCCCTTCCAGCTGTTTTTATCCAGGAAGAAGAAATGCCTTCCTCTCTGATCCTCTTAAAAGTTTTCTAAACAGGTTATTTCCTATTACTAAAGGGTTAATGTTTGCATTCAAGACCTTGGAAATGTTTCTTAGTTTTTAAGATCACTGGAAAAATCCTCGAGGTCACTTCTTTCGTTTCTAGGTCTGATCTAAGAAATACAAGGTCGGAGTTGGGGAAAAACAAAAATGTATCTGCTTGCCATTCACGGCTTTCCCAAGAATCAGGAGACGCAGAACCGCTAACCCTGAGTCTCTGAGCTCGGGCGGCCAGGCGAGCTGCAGGTCCGTCTACCGCACGGGGGTCTGGGCCGGCGGCCCGGCGCCAGCACGAACGCCGGACGGACTCGCCAGAGAAAAGGAGTCACGGGGCGGGGTGGATGGGGCAGCGGTGAGGAGCGAACTCTTCCTGACCATCCTCACCGGAAAGACAAAACTACCAACAAACAACCTTCTCGGCCGCCGGGCCGCCGGCGCCCCTCGCGCCCTCGCGGGCCAGGCCCTCCCGCCGCCGCCGCCCCGCCGCCCGCCCCGCCGCCCCGGCCGCTCGGCCGCTCGGCCGCGGAAGCTGCCCGTCAGCTCGGCCCCGGCGCCAGCCCCACCTCCCGAAGCCAGGCCTGCGGACGGAGGTCCTCGCAGGAAGGCGCTCCACTCCCCGCAACGCCATTCATTAGGAAAGGTCACTGCAAAGGACTCCGCCGCCGGGCGCCGCGGAAACCACCCCGAAGCAGCCCGAGGCCCCTCCCGAGGCGGCGGCTCGAGGCCCGAGGCCCCTGGGGAGGGCGGTGGCCGCGGGCCACGGAGCGGACGGCGTCCCCCCGCCGCGCCCTCCCGCGGAGTCCGTCCCGCCACGTCAGGGCCGCAGCCGGGCGAGCGTGGCCGGCGGGGCGGGATCCAGGCGCCCTCGGCCCGCGGGCAGCAGGCGGGCTCCGAGGGCCTGCGCGGCCCGGCCCGGCCCCGCTCAGATCCCGAGCCCCCGCGGAGGCCGCTTCCACGGCTCCCACGCGGCTGCGGGTCGGCCTGCACCGGAGCCCCGCGTGCCCGGCGGAGGAACGGGAGGGAGGTGGGAGCGAAGGGGGCGCCCGGGGACGGGGGCAGGGACGGCGCTGCAGCCCCAGGCGGCCTCGCTGGCCACGCGCCCTGCGCCTCCAGCCGGGGCGCCGCCAGCGCCGGGCTCACCTCTCTCGGGCGCCTCCGCTGCCCGGGCCCAGGCGCCTCCGTCCCCACGCGGCCATCTTGCAGACTCTCGGCTCGCGGACGCCTCTCGCGGCGGCCTGGGCGGCGCGTGGGCCGACGGGAGTTGTAGTCCGGACTGCAGCCCGGGACGGCGCGGGAGGCGGGGTCGAGCCGCCCTGAACTACAATGCCCACAATGCACTGGGCCGGCAGCCCCCGCCCCGCGTCGCTTGGGAAAGGTGGTACTTGCTGCGGGCGGGTGAAGCGTCGGCCTCGGCGGAGTGCGGGTCGGCGCCTCCTTAGAGATCGAAGTTCTCCAAGTTCGCTGCCCCGGGTTCCGGAGCGGGAGCTGTGGGAGGGCGCCCGGCTTCTCTGCCCACCGCTTTCTGGCGGGCCCGGCGTCTCGCTCCCTCCGCGAGCGGCCCTCCTGCCCTTCCCGGCCGCCTGACCGTTAAGGTCATCGGGCGGGAGGCGCTGCTCCTCTGCTTCATCCCCCAAATTACCTGGGTTCGGGGAGTCCCCTGCGGACCGGACAGGCGGGTCCCTGCTGCACGGAGGTGCCTGCTCGCAGGGTGTTGGGAGAGCTGCGCCTCTGTCCATGCGGTGGAGGAGGCTCTGCCGCGGAGAAAAGCCGCCACGCGCCCACGGACCCATCTCAATGTGGTGTCTGTGTACGCTGAACGGGTCATCCCACCCGATGCGATCTGTTGTAATGAGCTGGTTATTGATCACAGGAAAGGAGCAAAGGGAAGGCCAGACATTGCTGGCATGTCATTGGGCAACTTCACACCCCAGGAAGGGAAGATGGGAGCATGCCCAGTGAAGGTGGGGTGACTGGAGAAGGTACTTGTCTGTCAATCATACCTGGGGATGGGAACGGTTGGCCAAAATGGGCGTGGCCATTGCCAGCTCAGTGGCTTAAAGGGAAGTTCGCTCTCTTACTGCTCTTCCCTCTTGGGCTCTTGTTGCTCCAGGTGGGATCCCTGCATTTGCCTGCGTGGCCCACAGCTGCGCCGACCCCACGCACAATGGACTGAAGGACTGCAGCGGCCTGATGCTGTAGTGAATATGGACGACGTGAATTTGGACCAGAAACTGGACACGCTCTGATTTCAGCTCTCCTGAAACCCCAGCAACACTTCTAAGACTGGACTGAGGGAAACCGAGGGGTGTCATTCCCCAGAAATAAAGCTTTCTACCATATCTCATCCTCCCATGGGGGCCTCTGGAAATGCTTATCCAGTGGCACCCCAAGAGTCCCACTTCCACGAGTCCTTCCCCTACTGTAATAACGGGAACCTGTGCAGAACCGGCGTTTTCCTGGACAAGGTGGGCCCTGCCTCGTCCTCAGAAACCACCTGTCACTTCTCGCTCTACCCTTCTCACTGGTTCATCCTTCTAGCGAATACTTACCAAGACACAGTGTTCCTGCACAGATAACAGTCCTCGGAGGCTTTCAGGAGCGCACCTGCCGTCCATGGGATAAAACAGTGGTCACCATTTTGCAGCATGAGTCTGCAAAACAGATTGCTCCTGACTTACCTGTGTCCCACTCAGGGGCAGCCAAGAGCAGCCGGCAGGAGTAATGTCCCACTCGGCAGGCGTGGGATTCTTTGGGGAGGTGCCACTCATTTGCATGTCACCAAACCTTCATGAGCACCTGCCCTCATGACAGGAATAAATGGACAAGGCCCCCGCCTTCCACCATCCCATGTGGTGGCCCCTCATTCAGGGCTGTGGGCAAGCACAGAACGTAGATACAGAGGGTGACATGGAGAATCGGGGTTAGTACAGAGGGTGCCGGGCAGCCTGGGCCATGCTTATACCAGCGGCAGGAGCACAGCACGGTGGGCTGATGGCAGCAGTGCCTCTGCAGCACAGTCCACTTTCTAGCTCCTGTCGGGTCGGCCTGTATTTTGACTTCACAAACAGATTGGGGCTGAGGGATGGCCAGGAAAGTAGAGAAATTTAAGATATTCTCAAGGCATTAACACATATTCATATCCCTTTGCTAGGGCTTCCATAACAAAGTACCCAACTGGGGGGTAAACAGAAATTATTGTCTTTAGATGCTGGAGGCCGGAAGTTCAAGATCAAGGTGCTGGCAGGGCACCTCTCCTTGGGTTGCAGACCACGGCCTTCCTGCTGTGTCCTCGCATGGCCATCCCTCTGCGTAGGTGCACCAGGAGTGTCTCCCTGTGTGTCCACATTTCCTCCTCTTATGGTTAATTTTGTTATGTGAATTTCACCTCAATTTTTTTTTTTAAGTTACCATGGGGAACCAAGATGGCGGCCTAGGTAAGCACCTAAGCTGCTGCCTCGTACAACAATTTCAAAACAACAACTAAAATCAGAACGGACATCACCCAAAACCACAGGAAAGCTGGTGGAGTGGGAAATCTACAACTAGAAAGAAGGAGAGAGGCTCACGGATCAGATTGGGAACCGCAAAGTGCTGAGGTAGGGTGACACGCCCGCAGAGAGGAAGTGCAGCCAAATGCCTGGCTGGTGGGAAGGGAAAGGAAGTCCCCGATTGCACTGAACCCTTTCTGACTGCACTAAACCCCAACCCCGGCCGAAACCTCGTGGACCCAGGCTCATACGGGTGGAGTCCGGACAGTAGAGAAAGGCACCTGGAGACTCAGAGACTTGGAGACTGGGGGAGCCGGGAGCCGCAGCAGGCAGGGTCTACAGTCGCACATGAGTGAGTGCGTGCAGAGAGGTCTGACTGCAGAGGTTGCCACAGCCTCTCCTTAGCAGAAGGAGTCAGAAGCTTCAGACTACAGAGACCCAACCCAATTCCGGGCGAGCCCCTGGGGCACCCACGCTCTTGCAGGGGAATCAGGATGGTTAGGCAGAAACTCAGGGGAGCCGCGGAAGGCAGAGGTTAGGCGGAAACTCAGGTGAGCGCACAAGGGCAGGGCTGATAGGAAGCTAAGACTGTCAGCTCAGCCTGGAGACTCCGCCCCATTCAAGCTGAGCACAGAGGCTTTTGCAATTTTGCAAGTCTGATCCTTTAAGACTGTCTCTAATACAGAAGGTATCCCAGAGTAGACACAGCTGATACATCCAATTGGCTTGAAGGTCAATTCCTCCCAGGGATACCAATAACAATCAAGACGTAACTACAACAAGGCTGTACACACAGTCCACAAAGGGGAGCACGAAGAGTGTCTACCTCAGGTAACTGGGGAGGCTGACCCACTGGGCCATGTAGGACACCAAGCACACAAAGCCACCCTACCAACTCAGGAAAGCAGCGAAAATGCCAAGACAAGGAAATAGATCTCAAACAAAAGAGATGGAGAACAAAAGACTGGATATAGAGTTCAAAACCATGGTTATAAGGTTTTTCAAGAATTTCCTAGAAAAGGCCGATAAATTTAATGAGACCGAACTAAAAATTAAACATAAATTGACTGAAATGAAAAATAGTATGCAGAGATCCAACAGCAGAATGGAGGAACACAAGAATAGGGTCAAAGATTTGGAATACAAAGAGCCAAAAGACACTCCTCAGGAGAAGCAAGAAGAAAAGAGAATCCAGAAAGTTGAAGATAGTGTGAGGAGCCTCTGGGACAACTTCAAGCATACCAACATCCAAATTATGGGGGGCCAGAAGAAGAGAGTGCAAGATACTGAAAACATATTTGAAGAAATAATATTAGAAACCTTCCCCACCTGGTGAAAGAAATAGACTTATAAGTACATTAACCCCAAACAAGAAGAATCCAAAGAGGACCACACCAAGACACATCATAATTAAAATGCCAAGGGCAAAAGACAAAAAGAGGATCTTACAAGCAGCAAGAGAAAAGCAGTAGTTTACCTATAAGGGAGCACCCATACGACTATCAGCTGATTTCTCAACAGAAACTATGCAGGCCAGAAGGGAGTGGCAAGAAATATTCAAAGTGATGAACAGCAAGAACCTACAATCAGGATTACTGTATCCAGCAAAGTTATCAATCAGAATTGAAGGGCAGATAAACTTCACAGATAAGAAAAAGCTAAAGGAGTTCATCACCACCAAACCAGTATTATATGAAATG